TACGGATCATTGAATGGACCAGCTACTGAAAAAGATTATTTAGTTTCGAAACTTGTGTGATTTATTTAAGGCTTTTAGATTGATTTTTAGAGGAAACTTAAAGAATGAAAGTTTTTGATCTATATGTCTAATATCTCCCCTTAAAGGTTCGTGAGTTTTAAATATATATTTAAGGAGTTATGGCTGGTTTGGTATAGGTTATTTAGGTGTGCCATTGCTAAAAACATTTTAACCTAAAATAAATGGGCTTGGATTAATGTTAATGGGCTTGGACTTGAATTAAAATGAGATGGGCTTGGATTTAAAAATAAAGTGGACTTAGATTAAAAAAAATGAACTTGGGCTTGGATTAAAATAAATGGGCTTGGACTAATGTTAATGGGCTTGGACTTGAGTTAAAATGAGATGGGCTTGGATTTAAAAATAAAGTGGACTTAGATTAAAACAAATGGAATTGGGCTTGGATTCAAATAAATGGGCTTGGATTTAAAAATAAAGTGGACTTAGATTAAAAAAATGGACTTGGGCTTGGACTAATGTTAATGAGCTTGGACTTGAGTTAAAATGAGATGGGCTTGGATTTAAAAATAAAGTGGACTTAGATTAAAACAAATGGACTTGGGCTTGGATTCAAATAAATGGGCTTGGATTTAAAAATAAAGTGGTCTTAGATTAAAAAAATGGACTTAGGCTTGGATTAAAATAAATGGGCTTGGACTAATGTTAATGGGCTTGGACTTGAGTTAAAATGAGATGGGCTTGGATTTAAAAATAAAGTGGACTTAGATTAAAACAAATGGACTTGGGTTTGGATTCAAATAAGTGAGCTTGGATTTAAAAATAAAGTGGACTTAGATTAAAACAAATGGACTTGGGCTTGGATTCAAATAAGTGGGCTTGGATTTAAAAATAAAGTGGACTTAGATTAAAACAAATGGACTTGGGCTTGGATTAATGTTAATGGGCTTGGACTTAAATAAAATAAACTTGGTAATGGACTTGGATTAAAATCAAAAGGCTTGATTTTGAAGTAGATAGGCTTAGACTAACGAAAATGAGCTTAGGCTAAAATAAGTAGACTTAGATAGAAATAAAAAGGATTTTAAAATTCTAAAGAAAATTTATTCTTTCGAAGAGGAATTACAAAAAAAAAAAAAAAAAAAAATTGGACCTTCTTTAATTATTAATGAAACTAATAAACAATATTAATGAGCGGAGGTTGTGTTCCCGCTATGAGTACCATGATTGGTATGTGAACGTCGAGTGAATTTTAAGTGATGGTTAGACCGTGAGTATGGCTTGAGAAAGAAGGGTCGGTGCCCGAGTTTGGTTGAATGTGATTAAACATGTCATCACATGCATCATGTGCATTGGAGGTGGAAATAAATTAAGAAAAATCATTGAGTCTTGAATTGACATGGTTTGGTAACCGAATTGAGTGGATTGGGTAATAGCAAGAAATTCATAGTGCGAGCTCTATTTACTAATACCGTTAAGCGAGGGATAATTTCGCTAACCGTGTGCTACAATGAGGGATAATTCCGTTACGAGCGATAGGTGATATTGAGATCACCGAGAGAAAGTAATAGAGTAGTAGGTGATATAACGATTATCGAGAGATTGGGCGCACGGACTTGCATATACCTAGGGTACCGGATTAAAATGGATGAAAATATGAGAAACACAATAGCATTGCATATCACGTGCATCACCCTACTTACCGGGCTTTGGCTCATTCCGTTATTGTATTTGTGTGTTGTTCGAGCAAGGGCAAAGTTGAGTTGATCGAAGATGCTACCGATTCTTGCTAAAAGAGGCTCATGTGTCACTCATTAAAATAAGAAAATCTTTTGTGTCATTAAAAAGGGGTACGGGCCTAGGACGTAAATTTTTAGGCATTTTGAATATGTTATAAATTATAGAACTATCCGTAATAATATTGTATATTATAGCATATGTTTCCCATGGTTTAGTTTCGTTGTGTATGATGGAGGAAGTAGGGGACTTAGTCCCAACGAGTATGTCGTGCCTGGTCACGTTTGTGAGGTAATAGGTAAGGGAGCCGGGGCATCATAATATGAGTGAACATATAAGGTGAATTGAGATTAAAAGATGAGATTAATTATGAAAATGCCAAAGTTAGTACGATAAAGCTAAAATGATTTTGATGGATGATCACATGATCCCGAGCCTTTATACTTGTCAAACACCTTTCGAGTCTTTTTATATTTTTTATTCATGAGCCAAAGCCTTAGCCTACATTATGTGCCTTCAAAATCCCTTTTTGATCAAAGATGACTTGCTTCATGTCGATAAGCTTTAACTTCAAATGAGAAAAAGAAAAAAAGATTTTAAAAAATTATTTTGCTTGTGCATCACAAATCATTATTCATAGCAATGGATTATGAGTTCTACATCAAACACAAAGGGGCAAGGAAGAAATGAAATCATGATCTTTCCGGACAAAACTATCCGTTTGAGCTTAATTTTTTTGAAAAGTTTTGAGTTTAGAAAACCGTTTGTGCCTACTTTTTTGGAAAAGCCTTTTAGTCTATAAAACCTATTTGATACTAATTGTCTTCAAAAAGCCTTTGAGTCCATGGAATCCATTCGAGCATTTCACTTCTTTGAGCTAACATTCTATACTTGTCTTTCTAAAAAAAAAATAAATGATTTATTTCCAAGTCGTTGATGTGATCCGAATATATTTTCCTCACTTAGCCTAAAAACGAATCACTTTAAGGATGACATCATGACATTTTCATGATGTGTTTTGTCTTTCAACCAAATTAATCAAATATTTTCTTGAATTAGATTATATTCTTGTAAACATCTATGTGATTTCTTTTGAATAATTCAATCTACTTTGATGGAAATTATTCGGATATACGATCTAATCAATAAGAGTCAAAATAACTAAAAGTTAACTCTTCTCAACAGAAGAAAAAAAATTAAAATCAAAATCAAATCAATTAGATCTACTTTACTTTTATCCAAAGCAACAAAGACATCATTTTATTTATGGCTAAAATTCATCGGAGAAATCATTTCAACTTCACTTATCTTATTCTTACTTTGCCAAACACAACATGATTTGATTTCTTTTATCTTTCAAAATAGCCCGATTTTCATAAATATGATCGAGTCCCTCCAAAGCCTTTTCTTTGATCTTACATGCAATCCTATGATCGACATCATTTATGAAATGTAATGATACATCAAATCGATAAATGATAACATGATAAGATTTTTATTCAAACTTGTTGACAAGAAGACTTTCTTTGTGAAACTTATCATAAGATCCTTCCTAATGAATTAAGGATTGCAACATAAAAAGCTACTTCAATAATTTTTGGGCTAGATTTCTTGATATGTACTAGAAAAGCCAAACACTTGAGAGCAATACTTTAGGAGCATGAAAGAATGAACAAATGCCAACCTAATCATAACAAGAGATGCCATTCGAATGACATGAACAATAGCCTAGTCGAAAATTTCAAGAAAAAAAGAAAATAATCGGAAGACATACGATTAAACGAGACAAAAATTAGTAAAAGCGAGCTAGCCTAAAACCTTGAGCCTACTTAAATAGTGATGGCTTGCAAATGAGGAGAATAGGAGAAATTTTATGTTTTTGTAATGGAAACCTATGTTTCCATGGTAACAATAAGGTATGTCTCTTGCATTCTCGTGCATTGCCAAGTGAAGGTCACTCGTTTAACCTCAAGGATGGTTACCTCGTATTAACCAATTACCATGGAAAGGTCACTTGTTTGACCTTGGGGATGGTTACCCCGTATTAACCAATTGTCAAGGGAAGGTCACCTCTTTGATCTCGAGAATGGTTACCCATATTAATCTATTATTAAGGGAAGGTCACCTATTTGACCTCGGGGATAATTACCTATATTAACCAATTGGTCATCTATGTTACCTTAGGAATGGTTACCCATATTAGCCAATTGCCAAGGGAAGATCACGTCTTTGACCTCAAGGATGGTTAGTCATATTAATTAATTCCTAAAGAAAGTTCACATGTTAGACCTCGGGGATGGTTACCAATATTAACCAACTTTCAAAGAAGGGTCACCTATTTGACCTCAAAGATGGTTACTCGTATTAACAAATTTTCAAAGGAGGATCACATGTTTGACATCGAGGATGATTGTTCATATTAACCAATTGCCAAGAGAAGGTCACTTGTTTAACCTTGGGTATGGTTACTCATATTAATCAATTGCCAAGGAAGGTTCACCTATTTGACATCGGGGATGGTTACTCGTATTAACCAATTACCAAGGGAAGGTCACCTCTTTGACCTTAAGAATGGTTACCCATATCAACTAACTACCAAGAAAAGGTCACCTCTTTGATCTCGGGGATGATTATTCATATTCACTTATGTTTTGAGGAAGGTCACCCATAATTGACCAATGATTTAAGGATAATCATTTATCATTTGACCTTGCTAATTGGTTTATTTATTTGGTTGTGTCTATTTGTTTGTCATTCTTCGTTGATTTTCTTTACAAGTTTATCGTGTAAAATCGAAGAAAAAGTCTATTTTCAATAGCTTCGCATAAGCATTATAAAAAAAGGACAATCGTTAGCATTTAAATTTTCCTCCTAAAAAAATTCAAAAATAAAAAAATAAAAAAGAAGAGAAAAGGAATTAAAAAGTACAATTGAATGATGCAATTGAAAAAAAAAAGAGAAAAGGATCAAAATAAAACAAGCCTACAAGATATGGGACCAACCTAAACTTTTGCAAAAAAAAAAAAAAAACCTTTAAAAATCGGTACAAAAACCATCTCTTTCTCACCACCTACCAGTCATTTTCTCTCTCCTAAAAAAATCCAGCTGACTCTCTCTCTCAAAATTATGACCAACGGACGTCGATTAATGCCAATCGCTCTCCAACCATACCACCGCCAATCGCCCTAGATTATCCCCTCCACTCCAAGAGGCCTTTTATCACCGCTCGTCTCTAGTAGCTTTCATCACCGTTCGACATCCTCTAGTGTAGTAGCCTTGCACGAGCCACATCCAACATCCACCAACAACCGTGCTTCCCAATCATGCCATCCATGAGTAGTAGCCGGCATTGTCGTCTAACCTCCGATCCAATAACCGATTCACGAGCAAGTAACCAATGTCACCGTCTCAGCCTTAGATCTAGAAATTTATTCACGACTAATGGCCATCACTAGTTGTCTAGCCATGATCCAATCACCAACGATCATCTTGCCTCATACCGGATCTAGATCTAACAATGAGTAGTTGTCCCTCTTCTATGGTAGATCGAATAATCAATCTCCATCGAGATTGAAAAGGTCAAAACCGATTCCATTTTGATGGTAAAAAATTTCCTTCGGTCGTTTTGCCTTTTTTGCAATAAGCAATTTATTCTTAATATTTAAATTTAATTTATATTTTACTATTGTAAATTAATTAACTTGCTTCGTGGTTGTGTGATTGTTTGATTAACGTGTTTAAGATACACCATAGTGTATTGAGCCTATGAAAAGATTTGAAGACCTTAGGTAATATTGAGATAGAATAAGGTATTGATTATTCTATAATTATCTTTATTGTTGCCTATGTGATTGAATTGCATTTGCCCAAATCTCATTTTTGAACATTTTTTATCGATGGTAACATTAAATCGCTTATGTGTCAATCTGTCTAAAAATGTCATTCTTAAGTTTCGCTAGTCCGAACCTCATTTTTGGACCACTTTTGTTGATCATAATGATTAATTTTGGTATTGTTGCCAATTTTCCTAAAAAATGTGATTCTTGAGTCGTGTTGGTCCGAACCCCTTTTTTGGACCATTTTTGCCAATTGTGATGTTTAATTTGATATTGTCGCCTATTTATCTAGAAATATGATGTTTGATTTGTGTTGGTCTAAACCTCTATTTGGACCATTTTTTATTAATTTTGGTAAAATGTTGTTTTGAAAAATCATGACTTTAAAATCATGTCGGTCTACACCTTGGTTCGAACCATTCATGCCAAATTTGCCTAACATGCTAATTTTATTTGCCAAATTAATTTGCTATGCATTTGAAAATCTTCACATTTGAAGTCGTATCAATCGAATCTCGTTTTCAAATAGTTTTTTTTTTTTTTTTGCCAATTTGATGACTTTGCTAATCTGTCTAAAATTTGAAATTTGAAATCGTGTTGGTCTAAATCCCGTTTTCGGATCTTTTTTGCCAATTTTAATGATTTTGCCTATTTGCTTGAAAAAATTGGAATTTGAAATCACGTTAGTCCGGATCTTGCTTTTCCGACTATCTTTTTTATTTTTTTATTATATATTTTTTTCATGTCTATTGTGTGAGTTTTAATGTAATTGTCATAGATTTAGATTTGTTGTGTCTCGGAGTGAGGATAAGACCTTTGACGAGGTTAAGTCCTAAGTCACTCACCTAGCTAGTAAAAATTTAGGAATAGGCATAAGTTTTCATTATAAAAAAAATATATAAAAATCAAGTCATATTTGTATGTAATGCACTTGCCTTAGACAAGATGGAATAGGGTGATTTTAATCTTCCTTACACGTAACAAACCTTTTGCCTAGAATTTTGAACGGACTAATTATATGATTTCTTAATAACTATAATACTAGGTGGCGATTCTAATATTTTTGTCCATTTCCTATTTTCCAAAATAGTCGCCTTTACCCCGACATAGCCCTGCGACATTGTGTTTTCTCGACAAAAGAAACTAAATTTTAAATGAAGCAAAAAATAAATATGATTAAAAGAACAATTATATTTTCCTTTTTCAATTTTTTTTGCCTTTTGTTTTATCTTAAAAAATCAGAACATTATTAAGAGAAAATTAAAAATAAAACCACATTAAATTTTATGAATCATTGACTACTAAAATAAAATAGAAGAATTAACCCTAATTAATTTTGGTGATCCAGAATTGGGTTATTACAAAGATAATCCAAAAAAATTCCTCCACCTCCAACTCTTCCAGGATTGCCAATAGAGGTCCCATCAACGTTAATCTTCCACCAGCCTTGTTATTGGGGTTTCCAGTGTATATATCGAATTGTGATTGACCAGCATCAAATTGATCTTCCTAAACAGGACATCAGAATCACACAAATCATCTTTAAAAAAAACACACTATCCCTAGCTTTCCAAATATGCCAGCATGCACAAATAATAGGCCATCTCCCAACCCCACCCTTTTCAATGGTTAGGGCCAGTCAGAGTCTAGAGAGATTACTGTCAGAAAAAAAGAAAAAAAAAGCCATTAATCCTGTGGTAAGATCAGTTTCCACGTCGAGGAAGCCTTTTCACGGTCCCGTGGCAAATGAAGAACTGATTCAGGGCTAGTTTGACAACGAGAACACAAAGAGGAACGAGCCATATTCCTTTCATACCACGCTTGATTAGTGAGAAACTTGTTCGAAGCAACAAACGAAACCAGACAAAAAGTTTATGCTTTTAGCAATGTCCATTCACTAAATCCACATCCAGTCATCAAAATTTATCACAGGGCTCACCGTAATAAGGAGTTTGAAACCCGAATAAACAATATAGCAGCCATTTGAAGAAGCAGCTTAGTAATGTTGATCACATTGACTCCTAATGGGTTAAAGATGGAGAGCATAAATGCAATCAGTAACATAGCTCGGCAAGAAAGAATTAAGGAATTGAGAGATCCCAACTACCGAAAGCTGTTAACACATCATAAACTTTCAGGGAACAGATATTTGAGGGGACTGAATTGATGAGACGAGAGATAGGACCATCATCGCACCATTTATCAAACCAGAAAGATGAGGAAGTTCCATTTCCAACCTCCAGCTATCTCCATCCTTAAGCAAATCAAAGCACCGGAGAGCTTGCTAGCGGTAGTGGTCTCTTACAAGATGTCACATATTTAAATCTTTAACAGATTAATTCTAACAGTAGCTTTTGGTGTGTGAGTAAAAAAAAAAAAATATATATATATATATATATAAAGCAAAGCAAAGCTTCTCACAATGCTTCTCCAAGTATGTGAGGCATCATGAGGACTAAAGAAGTAAAGATATCCGCGTTATCCAAATATTCAGCATTGAGAATTGGACCCAAAGTTTATGAGGCTCATGAATCAGACCCATCCCAAAAACCCAGATTGCCAAGCTTAGCCATGTTACAGTCCCTTGCTTGCCGAATTCTCAACCACCAGCTGTTTTCGGACTCACAACAGTATCCGGTTAAGAAGATGAACACCCCTATTACCTTCATTATAACCACAAAGAAAATGATGAGCAAGTCCATCGATCACACTGCACAACACCTTTGGAATCTAAGAAGTTTGCATGGAAAACAAAGGGAATAGTGATGGTGTCGTGAACCAGAGTCGCTCGCCCCTGCCTTATTCAGAAGCTTTCCTTTTCAGCCAGTAAGTTTGGTTTTAATCTTTGCCAATGATCTCAGCATAGGTGGCTTTGATAACTTTGTTTCCCAAATATTTTCCCATGTCATTAATATTCGAAAACCTCGCACCCACAGTTCTACTTAACTGTCCTTTGCGAACAAAGGGAACAAAAGGACTAATATTTCCCCTGTGATTTGGAAGCATTAATTTAATTTCCATACCTGAGAAAAAGCAAAACTACTTCAAGATAGACATCATGGTATTAGCTTATACCATAGATGCTTTTCCAAAAACCATAACATCATAGCAACACAGAGGTGAGAAATTTGAGGGCCATTGTTCCCCGGACAAATAGGCTTCCACTCTTCGTTAAAAACTCTTTTCAATATACACAGAAAGCCTCTCCATACACTAGACAAACAGCTACAGGGAAAGCGGACCAACTTGTCCTAACCCAAGTCTAGGACTAAAGGAGTCCCATGGCTTTGCTGGTTTCTCCATGATTGGGAAAAAGAGCTAAGCTTCAGACTCTAGTTATTGCACTCAAATTGTTAACTATGTGAGTGAAACCATATAAGTTAGTAATGAGAAGTTTAAAGTATTTATATACAAAATGAATCAATCACCCATTCGTCTAGATTTTTGGGTTAAGGTGGCATCCGTCTTTGTATGTAAATTCCATCGTATGTTGGTCATGTGGGGGTTCAAGTGACTTTTTAGTGCATATCTCTTCCAACAGAGTGATCTGAATTAACTCTAGGCAAGTGTTGAACAAAAGTTTCACGAAAGATTAAACATCAAAAAATTGCAAAGAGTCCTATCAAGTGGAATATGTGTAGTATAAAATTATTTTTTTGATCGGATTATGCTCGTGAGTTGGATAAAATATATAAAATTATTTAGAGAAATTATTTCAGTTTGATAATCTGTTTTATGATGTGAATCTATAAAAATATATAAAATCAAAGGTGAAAAAAATTATTTATAATTTTTTAATAAAAAAATTTGTATTTAACTATTTCTTATTTTTGTTTTTTATAATTTTTCCTATAGAAAAAGGATTTACCTTATTAATCCAAGAATTATTAACTAAAAAGAAAATTAAATAAATTCTTTTAAAAAAGCTTTAGTATTTCTTAAGATTGTGTCGAAAAACATAAATAAAAATTATTAAAAGCTTACATAGAATTGAACAAATAATTTTTTAATTTAATGTTGATGAGAATATCGGTTTTTGAAAAAACAAATATGAATTTAATTTTTATATATTTATTTACAAAAGGATGAATAATATTAAAATAAAAAACTATATTAATTTTAATTTCAACTATTAATTAATTAATTAGAGTTTTTTCTTAAAAAAAAACTGAAAAAATTATTTGAAATACACTTTTAATCTAAAAATGTATTTTAAAAAAATTATATATATATATCATGCCACTATAATTTAAAAGTTATCTAAATCCATTTTTCAAAAGAAAAAATAATCATGTTCTAAAAATTTATTCCAAAATCCATACATATAAAAATAAATAAATCAAAATTATCAATAAGTATAATTTTAAATTAATTGGATGAGAATTTAAGAAGAAGACAAAATAAAGTAGTAAATTTTAAATAATAAAATAATTAACAAAAGATATAAACAAAATGGGATCAAATCACAATATAATCAAAGTTTAAAATTGAAAAAAAAAAAAAAGAAGAGAATTTAAAAAATGAAAAATTAATGTAGTAAATTTTAAATAACATAAAAAAATCAAGAAAAAATTATTTGAAAAACACTTTTAATCTAAAAATGCATTTCGTGCAAATTATATATATTAATCATGCCACTATAATTTAAAAAGTATCTAAATCTATTTTTCAAAAAAATAATAATAATCATATTCTAAAACTTTATTCCAAAATCTATATATATAGAAAAATAAATTAAAATTTTCAGTAAATATAATTTTAAATTAATTAGATGATAATTTTTTTTTAAATGACAAATTAAAGTAGTAAATTTTAACTAATATAAAAAATCGAGAAAAAATTATTTGAAATACACTTTTCATGTAAAAATGCATTTAAGAAAAATTATATATATTAATCATGCCACTATAATTTAATTATCTAAATCTATTTTTTAAAAGAAAAATTAATCATGTTCTAAAAATTTATTCCAAAATCCATACATATAGAAAAATAAATCAAACTGCCAAGTAAATATAACTTTAAATTAATTGGATGAGAATTTGAAAAAAATGATAAATTAAAATAGTAAATTTTAAATCATAAAAATAATTAACAAAAAACACTAAAATAAAATGGGATCAAATCACAATATAATTAAAGTTTGAAATTAAAAAAAAAAAAAGAAGAGAATTTAAAAAAAAATGACAAATTAAAGTAGTAAATTTTAAATAATAAAAATAATTAATAAAAAATACTAAAACAAAATGGGATCAAATCACAATATAATTAAGTTTAAAATTGAAACAAAAAAAGTATAAAAAAATTGACGACCAAAGTGTTATAAAAATATCATCAATAATGATTTGTGAGTGTGTGAATAGTATTTTAAATAGTGAATGAATAGTAAAATCATGTTTGACTTTAGTTTTATTGATAATACTAAAAATTATAAGGGAGGAGAACAGAGGAAGCATGATGGAAATTTTATTGATATTATATGACTTTTAGAAGAGAGGAAGCCATTTAATGTAGACTTAGATTACAACATTTACAATACACATATTTATTCTAGCTTAGAATTATTCTAGATAATCACATCATTAATGATATGCATACATGCATCTAAAAGAACTAAAAAGTACATTTACATATTAAATAGTTTGTAGCTCACTTATAGTAGTCTCTTTCAATAGGAAGTCACGGATTCAAATCTTAATAAACTTTTAGACTTCAAAATTATTTTCAACACTCCTTAATTTTGAAGGTCTTATAACTTAAATTTGTTTGAAATGTGTTGGTAATCTACATCATGCATCTTTAAACTTTTTTTTTTTTTTTTAACAGCCACAATGCTGCCACTATCTTCATGTTGTGAAGTTCTTGGATCTTTGAATTAACCATTCTTTTCTTTATAATCATGGCTAGCTAATGGCATTTCATTGCCATCTCTACGATTTTCTTTTCTTTAGCAATTGTAATTGCTCGAACATGGCTATTGTTGGTCATTTTTCTCAACTTTTGGTTGTTGCTACATTTCTATGCCAAAATCTCTTTGTCAAGATTTAGCTCTTTAAATGGCCATTTTATTTTAGCTCATTTTTCATTTAGGTTGCTGCCTTCTTCTTCATCATGGCTCATTGGACATTTTCTTCCATCTTTTTTTCTACATGTGTGGTCTTTTTAGTACCACGTCATCATTTTTTTCTATTTTTCTCTTGATGAAAGGTCCCAATTCACTTTTAGGTATGCTTCATCTTACATCTTATTTCTTCTTTATATGTCATTCTTCATCCACTCTCTTTTTGAGTCTGTTGTCCTCACTCTTGGGTCTATTGCCCATTTGCTTTTGGAATTTATCTCTTTTTTCTACACACATGTTTTTTTTTTTTTAAATGCTTCATGAATGCTCTATTAGACCAAATTTATTTGTGATGTCATGTTAGAAATTATAATAAAGGACAAATGAGGAAATAATTTTTTACCATACACATATTTATATATACTAGCATTATGAGAAATTTCATAATTCTCAAGGAGTAACTACTGTATAGTAGTTACTTCTTGAGAATTATAAAATTTCTCGACTAGAGAAATAATTTTTTACCATACACATATTTATATGTACTAGCATTATGAAAAGTTTTATAATACTTAAAAAATAATTACTTTATTATATATATACAATAGTTCTTTCTTGAGTATTATAAAATTTCTCGACTAGATAAATTATGGAGTAATTATTATACGTGTACAATAATTATTTCTTAAGTATTATAAAATTTCTCTAGCCTTGGTATTATTCTATATAACCACATCATTAATGATATACATACATGTATCTAAAAGAACTAAACAATTTCTTTGAAAAATATATTTACATATTATTCTGGACTTCAAAATTACTTCCAACATAAAAACCATGGCATTTACGGACCAAGGTAAAAAAGGTTTATTTTATACCCCAGATCTAATAAATTGCAGGCATACAATCTTTGTTTAAATATAGGGGACGAGAAAAGGAAAACTCCTCTGCGCCATGCTTCTCACTTGACTCTAGATAGTCATTAAAGTCTCCCAAAAGAAGCCAAGGAGAATAGGGAGTCTGATTGTATTCAACAAGATGCTCCTGTAACTTTTCTTTTACTGAAGAGAAACCCATTGCTCCTTTCCTTGGGATTAGAAACAAGTAAGGAAACACACTGAGTGAGAATGAATCGTCCAAGCTGAAATGCTAGATGAGTTCCAAAGTACCCATATGCCACCAGCTAGGCTCCTACTAGCTGCTCTGACAAGTTTATCAAAACCCAAGAGAAGAAGGTACAGTCACAGCTCTATCATTAGAAATACGAGTTTTGAACAAAACAAACGTTGAAGGCTTATTTAATTTCACCAAATCACTAGCAGTCCCAGAAAACTCTTTTGTGCCCACACCCCGACATTTCCCACATATTATGTTATGATTAAACATAAAAATAATAATAAGAGAGATAGTGGTGGAGTCTAAAGCAAATCATTGCCTTAGAAAACTGAAGCTTCCTTGGCATAAGGGAAAGCCCCACTTTTAGTTTCCATAACAAAAGCATTCACATACTCAACATCCTCAATGCCAGTATCCTCTGCACCCACAACAGTGACAACAGGATCATGGGGTGGTACAGACTTAGTGGAAATAATGTTTCTATCCTGAGGAATACCAGGGTTAGAAGGATCACCCATCACTGGCTGCCCTACTTGTTCATGAAGAGATATAGCTCCATTATGTAAGCTAACCTGGTGACATGCAACACCATTAAAAGCTTGTTGTAATTGGCCAACCAACAGTCTAATCAAATTATAATCCTGGTACAAACCATTGGGATCATCTGCAGGTGAAGGAACCAAACTTGAGGATGGACCCTGACGTAAATCATGTCCAAAAGGGACTTGGGCTTGGGTCCCAGACACCCTTTTACTAAAAGCCTCATTCTTTTTTCTATATAATTTAAACCGTGATTTAGCCTCTGCAGATTTAGTGCTGGTAAGCCAACGCACCAAAGGATTAGTTTGCGGCTTTCTAGAGTATTTTTACCCATAGAAAACGGATCGAGCCCCTCGTAAGTATTAGATTCATTAACATCGAGAGCAGTAAAATGATTGACAGAATCACGGCCCTTATCTTTCAAAACATTCTGATCCCGATTCTTAGCCCGCGAAGTTCTCCTTTCTCTCCTATCAGCCACCGTCCACTCTCTGACTTTCGGCTATGTTTCTGACTTGACTTGTTTTTTCCAAAACCATTTCCTTCTCTAGCAAGTCATGAAACCCAAAGCAACTGTATATATTCCTTAGCGCACCGTCTGGTTCAGGTTGGACGACCAGAATTGTCATAGCATCCAGGATTTTTGGCTGTTCAATGACGTAGGATCCCATTACGAAAGCAAATAGGATGAAGTCCTTTATACATTATAATATTTTCCATCAAACCATAATCTACCAACCAGGGGGCTTGATAGATCAATTTTTACACAAACACATGCAAACTGAGCACAAGTGGCATCTGAAATATTCAGATCAATCTTAATTGGAGTGCCTAATCCTATGGACAAAGCACGAAGTACAACAGCATCATAGTACATATATGATAGCTCTGGAAACGTAACACAAGCAAGGGGTTTGTTTTTAGTAGCAATAGATGGTTGAAATTCAGTTTTTTTTCATAATAAGGTATTTTTAAATCTTATTTCCTATAATATGATAGTTTTAAACTTAATTATCAAAATAAGTTATTTTATGGCATAGAGAATCCATCTCATTTATAAAAATTGACATGTCATTTTTATTTTTATTTTTTTGTTAAAAAATTATGTTATCATCGTAAATTACTCTTCTTTTTTACTATCTACTCTCTGTATCAACTCATGTTCTTATGCTTTCTATGCCTTCAATAGCTGCTACAAGAAGAATCCACCCCCTACAAACTGCATTTTTGGCTAAACAACACAACTTGCTAGCACTGATCCAAAATGACTTTTATTAACATGCGAAACCCTTCTTCCTTTTTCCATATTTGTGATCTATTTGTGTAACTAAATTCAATTTTCTCACTCTTTCTTTCTCTCAGTTTCGATGTCTGTTGCTTAATTTATTCTTTTTTACCAGCGCTCTATCTTTGTTTAATTTATTCTTTTTAACCATCTCTGTTATTTATTTCGTGAAAGATTGAGACTATAGATGTTTTGGGTTTTGTAGATCTGTTTTTGGATCAAATTCCCAAATGCCTTCTAGTTTAATTTGATTGAATTGATCATTTTGTAGTTTGATTTGTGAAAGATTGCTCAATGATGATTTACTTCGCTTTAACCACACTGAAATAAAGAGACGTAAGAGATTTTGGGTAAATTTTCCTTTTTTAAATCCAAAGATGGCTATGGCTTGTTTTATTTGACAGGTGTATGATGATTCGCTTTTGGGATACTTTTTCCTTGATCTCCAATTACTATGTAATCCTGGGAAGCCTTATTTCGAAATGCTTGCCCACAATTATCTTGTCCATTGCTTCGCAAGTTGGAATAATTGATCTTCCTTTTAAAATTTACAGTGCCTGATATCTCAAGCTGCAATCAGTAGCGAGTCATAAACAACAAGTCCTCGCAAAAAAAGGCGTAAAAATGAGAAGTGAAGAATCTTTCTTTTGTGTTTGCTGTGCTGCAAGTTGAAAACAGAGGGGCAGGGATGCAGAAAATCGATCCCCGTTTCTGCAGAGTTGCTAACATGTGCGGAACTGTGCTACATTTGAATCTTGGCATGATAAATGCCAGTTGATAAGTATTTATGTTTCTTTGACCCATTAATTCTATGTTTGTAAGATCTGGAATTGCGTCAGGCTCTATTTTGTTTGGATAGCAATGAATTTTTGCTCAACCATGTGCTTTTTTGGGAAATCAACTAGAGAGCAATGAATTTTTGCTCAACTATGTGCTTTCTGGGAAATCAATTGGGTGCTATAAACAACAGTGTATTTGCTCTGATGTTTCTTTCAACTGTTCTCCAAGAATCAAAACCAAGCTGAAAAGCCTTGTCAAAGTTTAGGCATCATTTTTTGGAATTGGTTGCTAGCCTAATGGATTATGTCTTTAGGCTTCCTATCATTGATAGGAAAGATCATACAAAGTTTTATTTATAGAATATCACGCAAGTGGTATATGTAAAGATCATATCTCAATTTTGACTAAGAACATTGGTTGTCTACTCCTAAAAAATGGAAAGGAAATAAATTGAGAAACCAACAATAACGATCCTTTTTTTTTTTTTATTTACTTGCATTGAGAAATTCTATTTTTTTTATTCTTTTCAACGGGCCATCAAGGCATATAAGTCAATGAACAAATGAAAGCGAAAGCAAATATTTTTTTTATTTTTTTATTCATTTATTCTACAAAATGTCTTCTAGCTTGTCCTCCGTACCGTCACTAGCACGTACTTACGAGATAGGCCTCTTCTTCACCTTGAGATCGTTATATAGAAGGAGAAATAAAAATTGTTATGAGACACGGGAAGATAGAGAGAGAACGAAAGCAAAAAAAGAAAGAAAAAAATAAAACTTGGTTTGATACATACATAGAAAAGGTAAAGATAACGAGGAAGAGGATATTAATTTATGATTGCAAAACGGTTTTTTAGAAAAATGATTTTTTAAAATAAAAATGATATTCAAATTTTAATAATTAAGTTTAAAATTATCTTATTATCAGAAATAAGATTTAAAAATATTTTATTTTGAAAAGAAAAAAACTCTGAAAATCAGGATCTCATTGCGGAACTGTTAAGTAGGATCCCTAAATCATCGAAGGTTCTCCACCCAAAACGTAATCCATATTCTCCATATATATCTTTTCAAACCTAATAAGGGAAAAAAAAAAAAAAAAAAAACAAAACTAGTACTGAAGAAACCAAGGCCAAGATCCAACTAAATTTCTCAATATTTTCACGATAAGAGATTGTCTACATGATGACATAAGACGATCCTTCAATTATGGGAGAAATAGAGAAATCAGGACTAAGAGGATCACCAACATATGGAAGGATAGGGTCATTGCCTAGGTGGCTGATAAATGAACGTACAGGTGAGATTGATTCCGTGCTCTTGTTATCCAGTGTTATTTATTTTAACACATTTCTATTTAACTATGGTACACAACAAACTGTACATTAATAAAAGTTAATTCATATTTTTACAATGATAAATTGGATTTATGAAGAAATAAAGCTCTAATAATTTTTTTTTTCAAAGACAAGATTAAAATTTTTTTAAGGGGGATGTATAAAAAAAAACTATTGTCATGAATTTAAAATAAATAATAAAGTCCAGAAAGAAAATATTATTTTTTTAGGAGATAAAATGCTTAACTATTACGAAAAACTCAAAAAGACAAAAAAGAAGAAGTTATATTGAAAATTTTCAAAACTTTGGGAGTGTCGTGCCCCCCAAAGCATAGTTCTGGCCTTGGTCTTCTTCTTTTAAACTCATACATGGGCAGTGAATGATAATGCAAACTGTTAAAATATTTAATTAATTATGGTAAAATAATAATGTGGTTTTTAAAGTAAATTACTTTGTTAATTATATGATCATTAATGAGATAATTAATTTATTTTCATTTAGAATTGTGTATTTTATTCGTTAAAAACGTTGATATTATGTTTTTCTTAGTGAAATACATGAAAGCAATCAATAAAATTGGGGAAATTTTTCCAACATTTACGCAAGCTTTTAAATGCATGGTGCATGACGGCCGTGTTCGTTACCGACACTCCTCAAATTAATAATCGATCCGTTACCCCACCACCTGCGGCCGCGATCTCCACCGTAACCAGAACATCGATTCAAAACTATATTCCTAACTTGATCGATTTAAAATCCTTCTCTATCCATCAATGCTGCTAGAGCTAGCCGTATTGGAATCACCATGCATAAGTTAGATCGATTCAACTCTACATGCAAAGATTACTTTTTCAGGACCCATACCTTTAGCAATTTCCTTGAGCACAAACTTTTTAATCTTCCCTGTTGATGTCTTAGGAAGCTCATCCTTAAACACCACAGTCTTAGGCACCATAAAGTGTGGCATATTTTTCCTACAAAAATCAATGATATCCTTTTCGCAGGGTTTTTTATCCAACCCATCTTTCAAGCCCACAAATGCACATGGCGTCTCCCCCCAAAACTCATCAGGTCGAGCCACAACAGCTGCCTCATGAACATCAGGATGCGTATATAACACAGACTCAACCTCCACGCTACTAATATTCTCTCCACCACTGATGATAACATCTTTGGACCTATCTTTGATTTCTAAATAACCATCTTGGTGCACAACACCCACATCTCCTGTGTAAAACCAACCATCTTTCATGCATTTTGATGTGCCGATTGGGTCTTTTAAATAGCCCAACATGACAGACCCACCTCTCAGAACAACTTCACCAACTGAAATCCCATCCCGTTTCACGCTCTCTCCTGTAGTGGGATCCAAAACGTCCATCTCAGTAGACCCAGCCATGGCAACTCCTTGTCTTGCTTTTAGTCTAGCTCTCTCACTTGCTGGAAGTGTATTCCACTCTGGTTTCCATGCACAGGACACCGCTGGCCCTGCTGCTTCAGTTAACCCGTACGCATGAGTCACCACAAAACCCAGTGACTCAGTCCTGAGTAGCACGGCTGGTGGAGGTGGTGCTCCGCTGGTTAAAATGTGAACTGGGTTTTTGAGCGGCTTAACGTTAGGAGAGGCTGTTAGGATGGTTAGCACCACAGGCGCACCACACATGTGAGTCACACCGTGTCTTTCGATCAAGCTGTAGATTGTGGAGGCTTCGACTTTACGGAGACAGATATTGGTTCCACCAACTGCCGCCATGCCCCATGGATAGCTCCATCCATTGACATGAAATATTGGTAAGACCCACAAATAAACGGGTTGTTCTGGAACGCTCCAATCGATCAACGCCGCGACGGACATGATGAAAATGCTTCTATGAGATTGGACCACGCCTTTAGGAGATGAGGTAGTCCCTGATGTGTAGTTTAAGACCACTGGATCCCACTCACTCTGAGGTCGGACCCACTTGAACCCAGGATCACCTTTCTCAACCATGCTTTCATAAGAGCAGCTAAACTCAGCGGTCAGTGATGATGATTGTGCTGCAGCGGCATCAGCATCATCAGTGATGAGGACGAGCGTAGGGCGTTTTGTGTTTGGAGGGAACAAAGACACGGCTTCAAGGATGAGGTCACGTGAGAGACAATCAACGAAAACGAGCTTCGATTCGCTGTGAAGCAGGAGTATGGAAATGGTGCTTGCATCAAGACGTGTGTTGATGCTATGGAGGATGGCACCTGACATGGGCACGGCAAACTGAAGCTCGTACACGGCCGGGATGTTGGGGGCCACTACGGCGACCACGTGACCACGCGTGATTCCGTAGGATGATAGAGACGATGCTACTTGGAGACATCTACGGTTAGTTTGAGACCACGTGTAAGTGGTGTTGTTGTAGATGATGGATGGGCAATCCCCATATGCAGTAGCTGCTCTTTCCAAGAAACCTATTGGTGTTAGGGGAGCTGAGTTCACTGCGCTTGGCTTTAGTTCCTCCATTTTTGCTACTCCCTGCTTTTGTTTTTTATTTTTATTTTTTTTCCAATGTTTTTTTCGGATAAAAAGAATTTCTCTATTAACGAAACATAAGAAAGTTGTTGGAGTTTCGCTAAAAAATAGGAAACATAAGAAAATATAATTTCAAGTTTGAAAGTTTTAGTTTGTGATCATTCGTTTTTTTTTCCCCCTCTCTCTCTCTCTCTCTCTCTCGTTTGCACGCATAGCAGAAAACAATGAAACGGCATGAATTTTTATTTCATCGATTATAATGAGAAATTTTAATATGGATGAATCGCAGTCAAATCTTCAAAATTGTTATAAAAGATTATGTATATATATTTGGTGTCGATAACATTCTTGGGAAAAGAGAATGAATGCCAGATTGTGACAAAATGAGATGAGGTAGAAATTAATATCCAGGACCAGCACGTCGAGTGCTGATTTCCTCGCTAATATGGGGGTTGATAGTTCAAGGAGTGGTCCAGGATAACGAGGCCCCTTATTAGTTGTGGAATAGCATTTGGGCGGATCTAGTAGAGGTCGGCAAACAAAGATTTTCTGCGTATGTTCAGTTGTTGTAAGCACCAAAACAACATAAAAATTCACACGGCCATGGAACAAAAAAGTGAATTTCCTTTTTGTTTTGATAGATAAATAATAATAAAGAGGTAAATTACAGAGTTTCATGGTGATAACATTTAGCATCCTCATTTTGCAAAGATTAAAATGTGCTATTTATACTTAACATTTTATTATTAAAAAATGTTGACACATTTAATTTGTTACTAGTGTATGAGTATGTGTGTGTATAAATATATAGAGACGAAAAAGCAAAATTAGAATGTAACAAAAACAAAACCAATCAAATCATTCTAAAGAATTACTAAGACTAAAAAAGACAAGGTCTGACTATTCAAAACTATACTCACCTCTGTTATATATATATATAATTCAAGTACAAGAAAGCAACGTATCTATACTTAGAAAGCAATTATCTTAATCACTGGAACATAAACACTTATATATATATATATATATATATATATATATATATATATATATATATATATATATATATATATATATATATATATATATATATAATTCAAGTACAAGAAAGTGTTTACAGTTCAGCGGTTAAGATAATTACCTTTCAAGTAATAGACTCGGGTTTGACTCCCGATAGATGCGTTTTTGCTATAGATTTATGCTTTGATTTTTTATTTTTTTTCATATATGTATAAGACATGAGATTGTGACTATTCACAACCAGATTCACCTTTTTTTTTTTTTCCCCTCGAGTACTCTTCACTTTTTTCTTTTTTCTTTTTCTTTTTTTTTTTTGGTTTCAAGTTGTTGTTCTTTTCTTTTATTTAATTTTTTTTCATCCATTGTTCACCTTTTTTTTTTTTTTTTTTTTTTTTTGGTATTGAGCATTTTTTTTTCAAGTTGTTGTAAATACATGTCTTTTCTTTTTTTCCTCCTTTGTTTTTTTCAATCAAGTTAGGTTCTTTTTTTTATATATTTTTTTTGAATTTTCGAGTTGTTTCATTTTAGTCTCTAAAATTTTAATATCTTAACCGATACACTACTCATGCCTTTTCTTTTTTCTTTGTTTTTTCCATTAATTTATGTTCCTTTTTTTAATTATGTGTTAAAATTTTAAAAAATAAATCTTTATTTTTTTCCATACAAACTAACGATTATATAACATATATGATATTTATTTTATATTTATACGATATGATTTTGGATTTTATTACAATATATTTTTCTTTTTCTTTTTTCGTTTCAAGTTGTTTTACTATACATGCCTTTTTTTCTTTGTTTTTTCCATCAATTTAGATTCTTTTTTTAATTTATATTTTTTAAATTTTCGAGTCGTGTGAAAGTGTATTTCAAATAATAACGAGCTATACAGCCCCAATTTCACTCTTATCGACTTCTATATCTTTCTAGACTCATGTATCTTTCAAGAAGAGACTATTGCTCACATTAACGGTTATATATATATATATATATATATATATATATATATATATATATATATATATATATATATATATATATATATATATATATATAATGGAGTATTTTGGGTTTAATTTATGTATCAATCAACATTAAAATCATCACTTCCTGAACTAAATCGGGTCATAATACATTTAACTTTTAATTGATAACTAAATTAGTTTTTAGGTAAAATCAATCTAAACTTAGTACCACTAAAAACCTAAAAAATAATTATGATTATTTATCCATAAATAGTGAAAATTAAATTTATTTATTGTTAAGTTAAATACCTCTCTAATGGAAAAAAAAACATAATTTTATCATGCCTTATTACCTTATCCTAAATTTTCATAATCCTACCTTCTGTGGGTAATGGTGAATTTTAAAGGTATGGGAACATATGTATGGATAAAAAATTCTATAACCCCTTTGTGGAGGTATTCTTGATTAATACACCCAATACTTTTTCTTTCACGTGCTCTCCGGCCTATCATCCAACTTATCTTCAAGAGAATAAATAATAAATAAGTACTTTTAGTTTGACAAAACAAATTAAATAGTTTATTTTATTTTAAAAATTATTTTTTTAATCCGTAATCGATGTTGATCATGCTTAATTCACATTTTAGAATAAAATTTTAAAAAATGATTTTTTTTCTTTTTTAAAAAATAAATTGATATAATAAATATATAACATGAATTCTTAGAATTTTTATATGATAGTTGCATATGTATAAATAAATAATTATTTTATTCTAAAAGGTTAAAGTGTATTTCAAATAATTTATCTCAACTCACTAGATATAGTTAAGACATATAAAAAAATCATTAAATCATTCATTTTATTAAAAATTAACTATATATCTTCTAACATAATTCAAATTATTTACTATAAATATTTTTTTAACATTATATAACCAATTTATTCAAAATGAGATAATTAAAATAATTTTTTAAAAGAACCAACCAATTATTCAAATATTGTTTTTTATGCTACTTTTATTGATTATTTTGTAATAAATATATATAGATCAAACGCATATACTTGAAAAAAATTAATCTTCTCATCAACATTAAATAAGAATAAAATTTTATTTTTTCATTGGTTAATTTTTATGCAAGTATATACATTAATTGTAACTTTATTTTTTAAATTCATTCTTATAAAAAAAATATAATTTTAAAGTATTTTTTTTAATTCTTAATTAATTTTTCGGGTTTAAATTATTACAAGTTTTTATTTAAGAATTCCTAAATAGCGAAGAATAAATCATGCTTTTTAAGTAGAAATTTTATAAAAAACACACAAAAAATAGTAATAATTAAATAAAAAATTATTACATTTTGAAATGATTTTGTTCTATTTACCGAGTAGCGTTGTGCGGATAATTTCAAAAATTATTTTTTCTCATCAACATTAAATCAAAAAAAATTTTATTTGTTAATTTTTGTCAACGTCCGTCCATTAATTATAACTTTTTGTTAGAATACAATATCGTGAAAATTATATTTTTAAATTTTTTTCAATTCTTGATTAATATTTTAGTTAAAATTATTATAATTTTTAATTTTAAAGTCAATTCATAAAGAAGAATGATTTTTTTTTAAGCGGATAATTTATAAAAACATCAAAAAAAATTAATTAAATTAAATATTATAATTAAAAAATTAAAATTTTAAAATAATTTTGTTCTATCGAACTCGCAAGCATAGCACGGGCAACCGACTAGTCGTAAGCCAAACAACAAATGTTGGTTACAAATTTGGCATGTGAGGGGTTAAATGCAAGCTTTAAGCGATTACGCAATAGTACATATTAGCATGCATACCTATGGTGTTAGGGTGGGGGGAGTGGTGGTGGTGGTGATGGTAATGTTGAAAGTATCGACTTTTGACTCGGTCATCCCGAATGGAAGAGAAATACATTTTGTTGCTCGCGCACTCGCATGTCTCTTAAGGCAATCCTATGCAGTACTTAGTAAACAATTGGCTCACTAAAATGTGGCAAAGACCACAAGGTCCAAAATTTTAGTTTGACGTTACTATTGTTATTTAATATTTAGGTTTGAATTTTAGGGAAGGCAAGGAAAAAAAAGCACCATTACTCGTGCAGATGGCCAGCTTAGAAAGATATTTATGAGAACTAATTACATCAGTATATTATCAATATCCAAGCATTAAAAAAAACCCTAAATCAAATTAACTTAATTAAATTAATCATAACTAATTACATTAATCTTAATTCAAAAGCTAATTAAATTTTAAAATAACATGTAACTAACAAATTAACAAAATTAACCTAACAATTAACAAAAATAATAACAAATTAATAATTAATTAACAAAAATTTAACCTAACAATTAATCAACCAATTTATCTAAATTATCTTAACAATTACATAAAATTTAACCTAACACTAACAATTAACAAAATTAAATTAACAATTAATAAAATTAACCCAACAACTAACAAATACAATCTTTTAATTAACAAAATTAATCTAATTAACAAAAAAATGAGAGAGAATTAACCAAAGGAGAGGAGGGAGAGGAGAGACTGCCATAGTAGTTTCAACATGGATTTTAAGGAGAGAGGGACGCCTCGTCGGATTGAGTAGGTCGGGGAGGGAGTAAGGTGGTGTAGGGTGGTGGTTGGGGCTACTAAGGGCGGCAACAGGAGAGGACAAGACGAGGAGGAGAGGGAAAGGGGAAAAATTTTAAGGGAAAACAAAGGGGCTAGTTGTCTTAGGGATTTAGGATTAGTAATGGATGTGATTTCGTCACCAATCCTTCGTTAAATAGTGATAAAAATAAGTATTCATCGCTAATTTAAATTTTAAATAAGTGCCTAATTTGTTAAACTTTTTAGAAATTAGAAAAATGAGCGACGAAATATTTTTTGACGCTAATTAGCGATGGAATAAATAATGTAACGATGGATATAATCCGTCGCCGATCCAATGATGGTTTTTAGCGACGAAAATGATATTCCGTCTCTAAATTCTCTCACTCGATTTGTTGCAATTTTGTCATTGAAATTAGCACGGATTTTTACGACGCGCTTTAGCAATGGAATTGTTCCCATCACTAATTTTCCATCACAAATCAGTCACGGAGTTCATCATAAATTGTTGCATTTTCAATTTCGTTGTCGTTCAATCGCTATTCCGTAGCTAATTAAAGGCAAAATACAATCGTCATTAAATTTTGTTGCTAACTCGCCTATTTTCTTGTAGTGTTAAGAGAGAGAGGAAAAAGAAAAATTTACCTCACATTATGGTGCAATTCTAAATGGTTTAATGGTTGTAGAAGTTTTTCTACTCTTCTTTTTATCTTTATCATATCCCTTTATTCTGTTTTTTTTTTTTTAATCTTAAATTCATCCTTCTACATTTGGTTTTGTCTAATCTTATTATTTTGTTAACTTTTGGACTAATGGTGTTAACGTTTTTTTTTTTTTCTTAATCTGTTCTTTCTACTCCATTTTTTTGTTTTGATTTTTTTTTACTGAATTTAAATGATTGAATTTCAGAAAATAATAAAAAAATGAAAAAAGGTTAAGATATTCCAATTATTCTCTCTAAAAATTGAAAATAAAATAAAAAACTTATAAATATGTGAAGCTAGAAATATTTTTTTATCCAATAACTTTTATGGGTTTACATTTTTCTCTATAATAGTAAGCAAATTAAATTATAATACTTAAAAAAAATTAAGTGAGTTTTAGTTAAATTTTTAAAATTTTGAATGTTATTTATAATTTTATAATACCTCAAAGGAGTTTATAAAATTTACTTATTTTAATTTTATAAATTTATTAAATTGACTCAAAAGCGAGGATATGAATTCCGTTATAAATTTTAGTCAAATGAAGAAATTTGTTAGTGTTGGATCTAGCACTAATAAAAAATTATTTTCTCTCTTTTGAGTCAAATAAGAAAATTATAAAATCAAACTAAGTAAATTATAATAGACTCAATTGAAATATTACAAAACTATAAATACTATTCAAATTTTAAAAATATAACTAAAACTCTTTTCAATTTTTTTAAAGTACTATAAATATTTTATTTTATACTTATAATTTACTTATTATTATAAAGATGAATTTACCCATATTAACTCATCATTCAAATTATTACAATTGAAATATTACAAAATTATAAATACTATTCGAAGTTTAAAAATATAACTAAAACTCTTTTCAATTTTTTTTAAATACAATAAATATTTTATTTTATACTTAAGATTTACTTACTATTATAAAGATAAATTTATCCATATTAACTCATCATTCAAATTATTAACCCATTTATAGGCTTAAATTTGAAAGACAAGTTACATAGGCTTAAATCATTAGCCCATCTTTCAAATTATTAACCCTTTTTTTTAAAATAAAAATGGTGAAGATAAAAAAAATTATTCAAAATATGAGCTTAAATTTATCTCTATAATGATAAGTAAATTTTGAGTATAAAATAAAATATTTATAATATTTTTTTAATGTGTTTCTACTAATAAACAAATTTGAGTATAAAATAAAATATTTATAGTATTCTTTTTTAAATGTGAAGATAATTTTAATTAAATTTTAAAATTTTTGAATGATATTTATAATTTAATAATAGCACAAAAAAGGCTATCATAAACATATAAATAACAATAGCAACTATTCTTGGGTAACTATTTCTAGGCTTTTGGTGCCATTAACATTTTCTTTTGCCTTCGGTACAAGCTACATCGGTAGCAACTATTCCCGGGCCTTGAATAGGGATCTTCCATTGAGTCGGTGTTATATATCTAACATCCTAATGCCTAACAAACTAGTACAACCCAAGAGCAAAATGGAAGAACTAAAACCAAGGCATCCAACCTCATGTCCTTTATTACCCTTAGGTTTCTTGGAAAGAGCGACCACTCGTTTATGGTGATTGCCCATCTATCATCTACAACAACACCACGTACACATGGTCTCAAACCCATCGTCGATGTCTCCAAGTCGCATCGTCGTTATCATCCTACGACATAAAGCCTAGCCACGTGGTCTCCATTGTAGCACCTAACGTTCTTGCCATGTATGAGCTTCAATTTACCGTGGCCATGTCAAGTGCCATCCTCAACAACATCAACACACGTCTTGATGCTCGGACCATTTCCATACTCCCGTGTCACGGTGAATCGGAGCCGGTGTTCGTTGATTATTTGTCATGTAATGTTATTCTTGAAGCCCTCTCTTTGTTTCCACCGGAAACTCGACGCCCTACCCTTGTCCTCATTACGAATGTTGCATGAGATGATGAAGCACCGACACTATCTCGTTGAATTTTTTTGCACTTACGGAACCATGGTGGAGAATGAAGATCGTGAGTTCAAATTGGTCTAGCCTCAAAATGAGTGGGACCCAATGGTACCGAACTACACATCATGCACTACCTCGGACCCTAAAGGTGTGGTCCTATCCCACGAGGGAACATTCATCCAATGCGGGTCAAGGCATAGGCCATTAAGGCCTATGCCTAGTGGCCCCCATAGAAAGGGGAGCTCCAATTAAAATTGTACCCTAAATCTACACTCGTGAAAAATGAGATAAATTAAAAGGTGTAGCCTCCACTTAAGTATGAGACACCATTCTTCTCTCTATTAACGAGTCATACGTACTTAGAGTTTCGCATTGAAAGACTCTCATTGTTCAAAGATATTATTATTTCAACGTTAAAAATTATATATTTTCTAGATGTCTTTCTAGTTACCTTCTACTTATAAAAGCTTTCAATTTTTATTTTAGTGAGACACTTTTACTTACAAAAAAGTTTCGAAAAATATTTATGAGTGAAACAATTTTTAGATCTCCAAATTTTGTTATTATATTCCTTTCTTTCTTCAAACAATCAAAAATCTCTTATAAAACCTTTTCTAATTAGCTTGGTAGAAGAATCGAAGGTAATTTTTTAATTTATGCAAATAAAATTATGTATATAAATCATATAATATTTTATTTTTTCTTAATTTTTTTTATTTTCTTAGGTGATTCTCTCTAGATTTACTTGATTAGGTGTGGCCGACAAATATAATCGAGTGCCAAAGTTTCTTATTCTTTTTATAATTATATTTTAATTTTATTATTTGAATAAAATATCTACTAGAAAGTATGAATCTGGACATGAAAAACGTAAGAAAAAAGAAAGGTTGAAGAACTAATTCAATCTCCAAAAAGGTGCACTTGATAGATTTGTTACTAATATTAAACCCCAAATACTAGAAGAACAAGATAAAGATTTAAATGAAAATATAGTTAAAAATTATGAAGAAAAATTTGAAGATAACAATTCAAATTCACCAAAAAGTAATGAAGAATATGATGAAAATTTAGAAGATGATGTTTCAATCAATAAAAGTGAAAATATTAATGATGAAGATGCAACAATAACTAACAATATTTACGATCCGACACAATGAAAAAATTTAGACTCGAAACTCGATTGATTTATTAGTTGAGAAAGGTCCAATTAGATAAATTTTAGATTTTTCAAGAGATAAAAATTCTAGCCATTTTTCTATAGTTCATTACATTCCAAAATTACCAAACAGAGAAAAATATGATAGAAAATGGCTAATATATTCAAAAGAGTTAGATAAAGTGTTTTGTTATTGTTGTAAATTATTTAGTTTGAAATCAAATATTCAATTAGCAAATGAAGGGTGTGGAGATTGAAAAAATCTTAGTGCCAAACTTAAAAGTCATGAGACAAGTAATGAACATGCTATTAATATGAACATTTAGGTTGATGCTTAGATGAGATTGCTTAAAAACAAAATAATTGATAAGCATTTATAAGAGAAAATAAATAAAGAGAAAGAGCATTGGAGGAATGTATTATTAAGAATTATTGTTGTTGTAAAAGCTCTTTCAAAAAATAATTTGGCATTTCGTGGTATAAATGGAAAGATTTATCAAGACAATAATGGAAATTTTTTGAGTTTAATTAAAATGATTGTTGAGTTTGATCCAATAATGCGGGAACACCTTAGACGTATTCAAAATGGAGATATTCATATGCATTATCTTGGTCATAATATACAAAATGAGTTGATAAATATTTTAGCATTAGAAATAAGAAATACCATTATCAAAAAAATCAAAGAATCAAAATATTTTTCAGTTATACTTGATTATACTCTAGATGCAAGTCATCAAGAACGGATGTCTCTTATATTAAGATATGTAGATATTTTGATAATTTCAATAAAAATAGAATAGTATTTTATATATTTTTTAAAAGTGGATGATACATCCGGTGAATGTCTTTTTAATGAACTTACAAGTAAGATAAAAACTTTTGAACTTGTTGTAAATGATGTGAGAGGGCAAGGATATGATAATGGGTCTAATATGAAAGGTAAACATCAAGGTGTACAAAAAAGATTATTAGACATAAATTCTAGAGCATTTTATATACCATATGGTCATCACAATCTTAATTTACTTCTTTGTGATATGACTAATTCATGTGCTAGTGTTGTGATATTTTTTGGAGTGACACAACGCATATATTCATTATTTTCTTCTTCTACAAAAAGATAAAAATTTTTACAAGATCATGTTTCTAATTTGACATTTAAGCTATTATCACAAACACGTTGAAAAAGTCGTATTGAAAGAGTTAAAGCAATTAAATTTCAAGCTCAACAAATAAGAGATGCTTTATATTAATTAGCGAGAAATTAGTGAGGATCCTAAAACAAAAAGTGAAGCCATTTCTTTAGCAACATATGAGATTGAAAATTTTGAATTTCTATTAGGCATGATTATTTGGTATGATATATTGTTTGCTCGTTAATACGGTTAGTAAATATTTACAATCTAAAGATATGGATATTGCTCTTGTAATAGACCACTTGAAAGGTCTTATTTCTTTTTTTAAAAGCTATGGAGAAAATGGGTTTGCAACTTCTATGATCTTGGCTAAGAAAATTACAGAGCAAATGAATATAGAACCAAAATTTCGTGAAAAACGTACAATAAGAAGAAAGAAACAATTTGATGAGATTGAAAATGAAAACATGAAATTATCTCGTTGAAGAATCTTTTAGAATTAATTATTTTACATATTTAGTTGATTATGAGATTTTCTCTCTTTAAAATATAAGAAGATAATTTTGGTTTTCTTTATAGTGTAGAAAAATTAAAATCACTTGATGATAATATTTTGAAAAAAATTATTTAAATCTTGAAAACTTTCTAAAGCACGATATGTTTTTTGATATTGGTGGTTTATATTTATTTTCAGAATTAAAAGTTTTAAAAGAAATTATAACTATGAAAATGAAAATATCACTTGCTATACTAAATTTTATAAAAAAAGGTAAATTCTTTTTCAAATGCATGGATAGCATATAGAATACTATTAACTATTCTTATTATCGTAGCTTCGACTGAAAGAAGTTTTTTAAAATTAAAATTAATAAAATCTTATTTACGTTCAACTATGTTACAATAAATATTAAGTAATTTGGTTTTATTATCAATTGAAAAAGATTTGCTTTGTAAACTTAAATACAAAAATTTAATTAGAGATTTTACATCTCGTAAATAAAAAAATTATTTAAATAATGTTTAATATTTATTTATTTTATGAAATATTTTATGAAAGAGTCTCTAAAATATTATTTTGCCTAGGGCCACGTATATTATAAAACCGGCCCTACATTCATCATGGCCGTCGGATGCTTGATTGATTGGAGTGTACCAAAACGGCCTATCTATTCGTGGACCTTGCCAATATTTCATTGCAATGGATAGAGCTACCCGTGGGGCATGGCAGCCGTTGGTGGGACCAACATTTGTCTTCGTAAAGCTTGATCAAAATTATACGGAGTCACTCACACGTGTGGTGCACCGGTTGTGGTAAACATGCTAACAAACTCTCCCAAAGCTGAACCCCTCCAAAACACAGTTCAGATTTTAACCGCGGGATCGCCACCTCCTTCCGCGGTACTGTTCCGGGTGGAGTCACTTGGTTTTGTGGTAAGTCATGGATATGGGTTAACTGAAACGGCATGGATTGTGACGTCCTGTGCGTGGAAACCCTAGTGGAATACATTTCCTGTAAGTGAGAGAGCTCGACTAAAGCCACACAAGGAGTTCCGATTGTTGGGTTCACTGAGATGGACGTTGTGGATCCCAATGCAGGAAAGGGTGTGAAACGTGATGGGGTGTCACGTGGTGAGGTTGTTTTGAGAGGTGGGTGTGTTATGCTGGGTTATTTCAAGGATCCATTGGGTACGTCAAAATGTATGAAAGATGGCTGGTTCTACACAGGCGATGTGGGTGTTATGCACCCAGATGGCTATTTAGAGGTCAAGGATAGGTCCAAAGATGTGATCATTAGTGGTGGATAGAATATTAGCAGTGTAGAGATTGATTCTGTGTTATATTCTCATCCTGCTGTTAATGAGGCAGCTGTGGTGGCTAGGCCTGACGAGTTTTGGGGAGAGACACCGTGTGCATTTGTGAGTTTAGAAGATGGGTTTACTCACAAACCTGATGAGAAGGATATAATTGATTATTGCAGGGAAAAGATGGCATATTTTATGGCACCAAAAACTGTGGTGTTTAAAGATGAGCTTCCAAAGACATCAAATAGGAAGATTCAGAAGTATTTGCTTAGAGAATATGCCAAGGACTCTGCCAGGTAAAAATGGCAACCGGACAGAGAGAGACCGGTTTTTATCTGCCTCTATATCGTCCTAGATTGCTTCAAACACCCTTCATTCCCATCCCATACCCAGAGAAGGTAAACATCCATATCCCCATTCCCATCTCCACCTCCGTTTGTATTACCATTTCCCGTAATCGTCCTGTCTCTTTGTGCAAGTTCAATCAAAGCACACATTTTGCCGGAAATAGAGGATATGAAATCGCCGCCTTACAAAAGAACCAAGCAGCAGTACTCCGCCAGCCACATCGTTTGTGCAACACTCAAGCTCGATTCTTCTGAGCTTCTAGAATTCTTGAAACTTAAGAGGAACCTGGTGCAACCTACCCCTTTGTCACCTGCTCCAAATTGGTGTCCTATTAATTGCGTTTTGTTTTGTGTGTGAAAATGTCCAATTTCCTCCAATGTTGCCAACGGATTTGTCATTTATTCCATCGCAAAAGGCTGGTCGTGTCTCTTTCAATCACAATGAAATAAAATGGCCATGAATGGTAACATGGTACATAACAACCTTTCTCCAAATGGCAAGGTTGTCTTCAACTTGCTTGAGTTCTTAATGGATGGATAAATATCTACGTTGAAGTTGCAGCATATTTTCTATGTTTTAGGTCTATTGTCCTAGTTTATAAATTTTCTAAATCCACTTCTTAAAAAATTTAAATGAAGGCCACCCTGCTGGTAATAGCCTACTTTCACAATGTCTACCAGATTCAAAGAAACCACATTCTATGGAAAAGACAACGACTGCAACATGCAAGAACAAGAAAACTGTAGAAGAGAGGGGAAAAAAAGATTCAAATTACTAAAATCCAAGTAGCCTCCAAGCCACATAATTCCACCTCAAGCATCAGTGAAGACAATGGTATGCACGAAAGTGTTTGTCAATTGTGAAACTAACTTGCAAGTACTAAAGGACGTATTTTCTAACTCTGAGTAATTCAGTGAGCTCGCCGAACACAAATTGGCTTTTCGTCAGCTAATAAGCAGTCATATGAAAAGATGCTGTTACACTGAATTGAAGCAACACTGTGGGATCCATAACACACTACGTTATAACCCATATCGCTAAGGTTGTGCATGAAACACGACAACATCCATACCTTCACTGCTCACCGGTCACCGCTCACCACTGATGCAAGCATTCACAATGTGCATGCTTTGCCATGCAATAAAATCCATACTTGAGGAAAAGAAAACATAATTAACCTAAAAAGTAAACACAAATTTCCTGAATTTTTGTGCAATTAAGCGTTGAAATTAACCAATCTGCACGCAGCAAACAATTTAATAAAAAAAGTCAATTGAGCAGGCAGAGTGAAGGGATTCAAAGTAATTAAAAACAAATGAAATAGTTCAATGACAATCGAACATTCCTACTTGAACCAGTTCACACTAATCTGTAGCAAACAATTTAATAAAAGTAAGAAATTGAATATCACAGTGAAGGGCCAATTACCCAACCCCGGACTGAAGAGATAACCAAGTACAACAGAATTTTAAGGAAAGTGAGTAAATTGAGCAGACACAATGGAAGGATTTGGAATTCAGGAAAGGAAGTCACAATAAAGGCCATTTTTAAGGTAAGATTTATTAACTTACCTTATGGACTGCCGATATAATATTTTTTTCCCAACTAAACCAATCTTTGATCGCCGTATATCTACACTATTTTAATATACAATAATGTAAAGATATGTATAATTAATTTTTTATTTGTATATTAGATGAAAAAGTGCATTAATGTTGTTTTATGAGAGAAATTAATGGATTTTGTTTTCAACAAAAACCTTTGAGTGAGTATGTCTCAAAATATATTCGTTGTTAGTTATTTTTACTTAGACCAAATTAGGATTTATAATGCATATTTTTTTGCTAAAGGTAAATCTAGGAAAAAAAAAAACGACAACAATATTTCAAATACGTGTTCAACCAATCTTAATGTCCTTTAAGTTGTTGAATTCTTTTTTTATAAATACATGAATTTGTTTGGATATTTTTTATATACCTTTATAGTATTTCAATGAAGTCCTTCATTATTACAAATGTGAAAAATAAAAGGTTAAATGTGAGATATGCTATTGGCAATAATGATGGTTGCGGTTCTGTCAATATTGTTCTAATGATAGTTAGGTTTATAAAAAAGATGATGGTGGTGTTGATAGAAGTAAAAGGAACAATAATTAGATAGCCATGACAATGATTGTGAGTCAATAATGTTTATGAGAGGTTTTTGTGAATTGATTAAACGATAGGATGACAAGCCAGTCATAATACAAAAAATTAGTATTGTTATTTATAGAAGCAAAGATCAACTAACCAAGCAAAAAAGACATAAGTAGTGACAAACATATAAGGAGGAGTAGATAGTGGCGGACATGTTAGTAGTCAAATTCTAAACGGATGGCCCTTTCGATGTTGTGAGGTGTATGAATGGAAGAGTTTTTAGAGAGAGAGATGTGAGTAGTCAAATTCTAAATTGATGGAGCTTCGATGTTGTGAGGTGTATGAATGGAAAAGTTTTGAGTGAGTGAGTGAGAGAGAGAGAGACGAGAGAGAGAGAGGGGTTTTGCTAGAGATTTAAAAGTTGGAATCCCTCGCACAATGATGTGAAGTTAGTATTTATAGTGAAATACGGGAAGTATTTGATCATTAGAATTATGTCTCATTATCCATGTTGAAATGAAAAAAATTGAGTTCTCTTGGATTGAGCTGCTTCAACTTACTACCAAATGCTAAATAATAATAATAATAATAATAATACTTGGATCTTTTTTTAATATAACATATTTTAAGTCGACTAAGCCAATCTTCATAAAGCATTCCAAAGACAAAACATATACACTCGGTCCTATTAGAATGCCTCCAAAGCCTTGTACTAAGTAAGGCTCATCTTTAGTCCGATTTATTTGTGATCCATTTAAAAAAAGAAAAAACATGGATTAACATATAATAAAAATTTGTTAAGTTACTTATTTAATTTTAGAAAAAATCGAACACATACATAATGATTTGTCAATGTTGATGGTGATAATAATAATGAGATAATAGTAATTATATTGATATATATTAAGAATTCGTTAGTTATATGCACACACACACATGCATACACACACATTATATTTTAATTCTAAATTTTCACTCTTTAGGTTAGAAAAAAAAATAAAGGTTCTACATAATTAATTTAAGCTATATATAATAGAACCATATGTTTTATAACTTACAACATGGACAACTCATTTTTTTTTTTTTTGAAGGATCATTCATCTTATGGAGGTGTGGAATAAACAAAACTTTTTCTCCATCTAAGGCCCCGAGATCAAGCCGTTGAATCTACTAACTATACATACATGAATAATAAGTTATAAATAAAGGATTACCTCTTGTAGCACATATTTAAATTCCTTTTGAAAAAAGTCGTCCAATTGTCCGACCTCTATTGATGATCCACACGGTCCAATTATCTACAAAGAAGCACTCAAAATTAGTGGAGTGCTAGCTCCATATTTTTTGATTTAGTATTTTCTCTAAAAATCAATCTTTGGCAATTTTACGACAACCTTAAAAGAGAAGTAAAGAGTATTTCTTGCTAGGGTTTAGGAAAAAACTATTTTCTCTTTTTTTCTCTCTTAGTTGTGTGCCCTATTTAATTTTAGGGCTAGCTAAAACTTTGCCTCCTTTTGTTTTTTCTTTTGGTCGAATTACTCTTTTGGGTTGATTAGTTGATCTCCATGCAACACCTCTCCTCCTATATATAGGGGAGAGTGTCTTTGTCCTCCAAGGACAAGGAGAGGGATGGCCACAAAGCTTTTTAGGATTCTAGGTTGTTACTTCCTTATCATTCAAGAATGAGGAGTTATTTTATATGTGGACTATTTGATTATTATCTTTAAAATATTCAAATTTATCCAATAAGGTTGATGTTTATCTTTAAAACATTCAACCTTATCCAATAAGGTTGATATTTATCCTCCCACCAAAATTATCTTAAAGCTCTTAACTAAATCTAATGGGCCAAAACTATTTTAACCCAATTAATTTATTTGAACTATCCAAATAAATATTCTTAGATTATTTTGACGGGCCCATATTAGAAAATAATTTTCTAAAATACCCTTTAACCTAAATTAGGAAACTCTTTTCCTTTTAGGTTTTTTATTTCCAAATTAGGAAGTCGATTTTTAAAATAGAAAATTTTTCATTTTAGAAAACTTCCATCATTAAGGAAACATTCCATTTTAAGAAACTTTCTATAATTGGAAATTTTTTCCAATATCTTTGCTTCTCATTTATAATGTGAATACTTAAACTTATGCGTGTAACTCGATAGGCTCCTAGATATATTGGCAATGTATCAAGAATAAAAGACTCCTCTTTTATCTCTTGATACATAAATCAAGATTGATCTTTAACAAGGCATCATGACTATCCAATTCTCTAGGAGGATTAGTTAATCTATTATTACCTTTCGGGAATATGGTTACCGGACAATTCGGTTTTTATGTCAACATATCACAATGTGATATCAAACTTGGTTATTAGTCTTTTTCAATTATAATCACATAATTTTTCTTCAATTCTTAAATGTCTTAACTCTTAGAGTAAACTAACTATGCTCTATTAGTGTACTCACTCTTCTTGCGACCATAGATTTCTTAAGCGGACATTTATCGAAGTGTAATGTGATAACTCTTTTAGCATACAAGGAACGACATGTCTTATCTTATTCATACACCTACCTTCATTGGGTTCCTAGTGCACCCAACAAATCGACCACGTGCAACCCATTAATAGGTCCATTGAAATGAGTGTCAAGGTGCACAAGTCCTCCAATGAGATAATCGTGACGACTCTAAAGACCATTTGTACTCATCTCGTATGAGATTCCATAGACTAAAACCAAATAGATTCTCATGAAGAGTCAAGTCCGGTGATATGCTATCTAAAATAAATCACCTAAGTAATTATTTTGGCATCACCATG